CCTGCAGGAAACGTCGACGATAGTTATCCAGAAAGTAGCTAAGGGTTACCAGAGATGTTTCTGAGGTGTTCACTAGATACTTTTAAGTTAAAAAGTCAAGAAGGGGGTCTGAAAAGCTGCTAGAAATAGCGTCAAAGTCGCTAAATTGGCAACACTGTGGGAGGAGCGCTTCATTTGCAACTCCGGGCAGCGCAGGCGGGAGGAGCAAATAATCGGCTTGTTTTGTTTTTTTTAATCGTTCAAAACTCAGATCGTAATCGTGATTAAAATTCGATTAATTGAGCAGCCCTAGTCTCAACCATGTTGGAAGGACTGTTACAGTGCATCCAGAAAGTATTCATAGTGCTTCACTTATTCCACTTTTTTGTTTATGTTACAGCCTCATTCCAAAATGGATTAAATTCACTTTGCCCATAAAATGATAATGATAATGTGAAAAAAACTGTCTTTGAAGTTGTTGCAAATATATCAAAAATAAAAAACTTGAGAAATCATATGTACATAAGTATTCACAGCCTTTGACATATGAAGCTCAGAATTGAGCTGAGGTGCATTCTGTTTCCAGTGATCCTCTTTGAGGCGTTTCAGTAGATTAATTGGAGTCCACACCACCTGTGGTAAAGTAAGTTGATTGGACATGATTTGGAAAGGCACACACCTGTCTATATAAGGTCATTGGGTTGACAGTGCATGTCAAAGCACAAACCATGCATGAAGACAAAGGAATTGAATGTAGACCTCAGAGACAGGATTGTCTTGAGGCACAAGGCTGGGGAAGGTTACAGAAAAATTTCAGTGGAAGAAGTTTGGAATCACCTAGAGCTGGCCGGCCTTCTAAGCTGAGTGAACGGGGAGAAGGGCCTTGGTTAGGGAGGTGACCAATAACCCAATGGTCACTTTGTCAGAGCTCTAGCAGTCATCTGTGGAGAGAGGAGAACCTTCCAGAAGGACAACCATCTCCGCAGCAATCCACCAATCAGGCCTGTATGGTAGAGTGACCAGACGGAAGCCTCTCCTTTGTAAAAGACACATGGCAGCCCACCTGGAGTTTGCTAAAAGGCACCTTAGCGACTCTCAGGCCATGAGAAAGAAAATGTTCTGGTCTGATGAGACAAAAATTGAACTCTTTGGAGTGAATGCCAGGCGTTGTGTTTGGAGAAAATCAGGCAGTGCTCATCACCAGGCTAATACCATCCCCACAGTGAAGCATGGTGGTGGCAACATCATGCTGTGGGGATGTTTTTCAGCGGCAGGAACTGGAAGACTAGTCAGGATAGAAGGAAAGATAACTGCAGAAATGTACAGAGACATCCTGGATGAAAACCTGCTCCAAAGCGCTCTTGACTTTAGACTGGGACGACAGTTCACCTTTCAGCAGGACAATGACCCTGAGCACACAGCCAAAATATCGGAGTGGCTACAGAACAACTCAGTGAATGTCCTTGAGTGGCCCAGCCAGAGCCCAGACCTGAACCCCATTGAACATCTCTGGAGAGATCTGAAAATGGCTGTGCACCAACGCTTTCCATCCAACTTGATAGAGCTCAAGAGGTACTGCAAAGAGGAATGGGCAAAACTGCCCAAAGATAGGTGTGGCAAGCTTGTGGCATCATATTCAAAATGACTTGAGGCTGTAATTGCTGCCAAAGGTGCATCAACAAAGTACTGAGTAAAGGCTGTGAATACTTATGTACATGTGATTTCTCAAGTTTTTTATTTTTAAAAATTTGCAACAACTTCAAAGACACTTTTTTCATATTATCATTATGGTGTGTGTGTTGAATTTAATGGGTAAAATGAATTTAATCCATTTGGGATTGAGGCTGTAACATAAACAAAAAAGTGGAAAAAGTAAAGCACTATGAATACTTTCTGGATGCACTGTATACTGAAACAGATTTTATTCCTAGCTTACTGGGAGGTTGTAAGTTTTTCTCTTTTCGAAAAAACGAAAACAGGATGTACCGGTAGTTACTTTTACACGCTGTGAGTTTGTGAAGTTGCCGTGTCTCTGGCGAGCTAACGCAGAATAGCAGGCATTTTTAATTGGGCACCAGCAGGAAATAAGCTCCAGAGTTGTTTAAAGAACCAAAGCCAGTACACAGGAACGACCCAGAAGTTATTTCCTATACCCCTAAGATGCCATGCCATCTTTTGGTTTTACTCTAATATCTGGTGAAGCAGACTAAGGCTAATGTTGACCTAACAATGCTAATAGTGAATTGGAAACAAATAGGCGGCTCTAAAAATATCCCAAGCTACTTTTTCAATTACCAACAACTCGATATTACAGTGAAATATATGTGTGAAGAGAATTATGAGTCAGTTGTGGTGGTTTACTTTCTTTAATCCGTCGTTCTGAACTATAACAGCAAGACGGCAAACAACCAAACTTTCTTCACAGTAGAGGCCTATTACTGTAATAAGTGTAGTAAGTTCTCCCTACCGTATAACACCCGAGTGCTAACACCAGATATAAAAATGTAGTTATCTATTAGCAACTTACTGTGTATGACTCATCTCTTTTGTCATCTAGAATCATCTGGCTCTGATCCAAAGCTGGCGATAGCCATTAAAGTGATTTTATGGCTTAGAAAAACAAAATTAGTTAACTAATTTTACAACTCCTTTAAATTTGGAAAACAATAAAGTTGGAAACTTTATTTATTTCAAGAATAATGTTCTTTGTGGTTTTAAGGTGGAATTCTGTTTTAAGAAGTTGTGTAAAAAAAACTCGTGAGATTTTTCTTTTTTCTGTGACTTTCTGGTTACCAAACTTAAAGGGACTTTACTGAGTTTTGGATTTTTATGCTCGTGATTTCCCCCTCAGGCCAAAAGCGTAACGGCAGCTTCAATAGTAGGCTCGTGCACGAGGCGCGCATGCCGTACGTGCACACTCCTTAACGAAAATAACAGCTGAGACAGTCCAGTGTGTGTGTGTGTGGCCCGGAGGACAGAGGACAGGAGAACGTGCAGCTAATTAATTAAATAATTTGGTTCTGTACCTTTCTCTTCAGCACAGCCGACAAAGTTTTATGATGGGTCGGTCCTCCTGCATGCTCAGATCATTCCCTTCCCTTGCTTGAAAAATTGTTCCAAAATGAAAGTTGAACCCACATCTTTTTTTTATCTCTGAATTCAATGCCATTTGGCGAGTCGCAAATAAAAATTTGGGCATCTTACTGTAAAAAAAAATACCATTAATGTAAAAAATAAACTCTAAATAAACTATGTTTACATCCAGAATCGAACCCAGATCTTCTGCACGAGAGTCCGCTGTTTTACTAGGTGAGCTATAGCACCAGTGACATCTTTTGTATCTGTAACAATTATATCCTTGATGACACCTGAAACAACGTTCAAAGAACGGTCCGGAGTGAAAATGGCTTTTGTTGCTAATTTGCAGGAAATATCTAGAAGAAAGTAGCTAAGGGTCCTCAGAAGTGTAGCTAGGTTCATCACTAGGCGTTAGGAACAGCGACAAAGTCGCTGAGTTGGCACTACCTCTCTCTCTGCTGCTAAAGCTACGGATAGCAAATGCTACGGGCGATGCCTGAGCGTGAACGCGCATGAAGCAGCCTGCTCGACCCGAGCAGCTCTCTTTTTCTGTGATTTTACAGAAAAACAGGCAATCACAGTAAAAATGCCAGGGCTCATTCTACAGGACCAGGGCACTGCAGGAGAATGTATGAAGAAGACATTTATTATTTCTATACATGTTTTGGCTGTCAAACTTCCATAATGCCCCTTTAAAGAGAAATAAATTGGGAAAATATTTGGACACAAATTTTAGATTTATTAATTTACAAAAATATTCCTAATTGATCATTTGTTCAAATATGCAACGGTTAGTCTGCTGGGATTGATTGAGTGAGTTGACCCACTTCCTTTATAGGTTACAGCCACACTAATAGAAGAATAATAGATGAGTCGTTTAATACACTTTTAAATCCGTGAGCGTCTGCTCTCCTGAAGCATCTGGTTCAGCAGGTTGAGCACACCTCAGCGTCTCGCTGTGTGTGTTTCTGAGTCAACTTCTGTCCAGATTATTAAAGCAACTTCTGCCGTGTGTAGGAGGAAAACCACAATCACTTACTCCCATCCATCTTCCCTCATCAGCCTATCTTTAAGTGTACATCTCTGTGTATTACTGCCTTTTATGTTGGGTGAAGGATTATAAGTACAGTACTCACTGGAGGGCTGAAGACACGCCCACACTAATGGAGCATTTTGTGGAAAGCCTCGCGAACTCCATCACACCACTATTGTGTAGTTGGTCTCCTCGTCTCGCTCAGTGCCAGCAAGCTCTACATGGCACAGCGAGTGCTTCCACCCACTCCGCGTCTCTCTGGTTCTCGCACACGCAGCCGAGCTTTGTGTGTGGTCTTTTGACGTGAGAACAAAAGCTCATATTTGATGCTGTCAAACGTGTGAGAGGGTATCACACGGGCATTTACTGTATAAGCTGGAAATGGGAAGAGGGTGTTTGTTTAGCTGGGAGGCGTTGAAACCAGTTTCCTCTTTTGTGTTTGATCAGTTTTTGTCCTAATAGTTGTCATAACAGTTTATTCTCCTGAAACTATCCCACCGTGGTTCACGGTGCAGCTGGTTTTTGATCAAGTTGGGATTAGTTCTTGAAACCTTTCTTGTTTAGCTCGGCACAACAGTAAACATTTCTCTTCAAGGTTAGCTTCACTTCTGTGTGGGCATCAAACGTGAGTTTCAGAAGGAAAGAAAAGAGAACGGCTCCAGTTGTCTGATCCAAAAACATCCCTCAGTCTTCGTGCTTAGATCTGAAAGGAGAAAAAGAACAATTGGCAGATTACAATGTACCGACACCCTATTGTTTTTCTTCCCTCCAGACTTCAAAACAGCTGAGTCTCGAAGCTGTAACAGCTGCCAGAGATAAAGCCGTCTGATCGCTGACGATTGTTTTTGTTAATGTTTGTTGACTTTTTAACTAATGCAGTTTTTATTCATTTCCCCTCCTTGTGCAAAAGGTGTTGTGGAAGGTGACCTGGCCGCTGTGGAAGCTTACAAATCATCCGAAGGAGACATAGCACGTCAGCTGACATCAGACGAAGTGCGGCTGTTAAACAGACCCTCAGCGTTTGACGACGGTTTCACGCTGGTTCACCTCGCCATCCGTTTCCAGAGACAGGACATGCTGGCGGTGTTACTCACGGAGGTCCGTGCAGACAAGTGCCACATTGTTGCTTTTTCACAAATCATCTGCCATTAATTATGGGCTTTTTGAGTTTTGTTTACACTGTAGCAAAGCACTGAAGCTCTATAGAAGTTTATGAAAGCATGTGTTGGTAGGTTATAGTTAAGACAAGTATGCATATTTCATCTTAACTGGTGAAGTTGAAAGGAATCGCCACAAAAATGTTTTATGCATAAAGAAAATCCTGGTACATAGCTTTTGTTGATCTCCAATTTGATTGCATATTAGAGTTGTTTTTGTTCTGTTTTATATTTTGATTTTGATTGTTTGACATAAAATGTGGGTCTTGTGTGCCTGTTTGTTTCTGCCTACTATATGCATGCTGTAAAGTTGATTGCAGTGTCCTTGCTGTCAGCAGTGATCCCAGATTATCTGTTTATACACCTCTCCTCCCACTCTGTTACTGCCCTAGTTTCTTCCACAAGGGGGTCAGTGAGTAACTATAAAATCATGTCCTAAAACGCTTCCAAGCTCGCATTTGCATGAACGCCAAACAAAGAAACTGATCACTGCTCTTTTTTTTTTTTTTGTCCTGGCAGCCGTACAGATTTGATAAGAGGAACATTAAATTAGGCTTATTTTCACATTTAGCTCATTTGCGTAAATTCACTCAGAAACTGAGAAATCCTTCTTGGGACTGAGGCTCTCATTTAACTAGGAAAACATAAAGTCCTCCCAGAATTTCCCTGATTTTTTTTTTCAAACTGCAAGACAATTCACTTGTTTATGTTTGTGTCTGGATTTTTAAATTATGTTTTGACCTTCTCATCTAAGCACATTTATTTGCATATCAAATGTTGACCTTATCAAAGCAAAATGACTTATTTTGGGCAACTGAAGCAGCTGATTTGATATGGATATCATAGAAAATACAGTTTTAAACACTTTTAATCCATCTTTCTGGATATATTTCCTGTCCTCCCTGCAGGTGTCTCAGCAGGCAGCCAAATGTATCCCAGCCATGGTTTGTCCAGAGCTGACCGAGCAGATTCGCCGGGAGGTAGCGGCTTCCCTTCACCAACGCAAGGGCGACTTCACCTGCTACTTTCTCACCGATCTAGTCACCTTCACCCTCCCTGCAGGTCAGCAGCTGCTCTCTTTGTCCAAACTGATAACAAAGCAAGAGAAACATTCATGGAAATCTTTGCAAGAACTCAAGAGGCTGACAGAGTGAAGCTTAAACAATGCAGCTGAAGAAACGCATTCTCCAGCCATTTCCCTCAGGCATCCCCATTGTGCTTCAGAATGCCCGTTTTGTTTTCTCGTGGCAAACGAAACTGCTAGTTTCTTACATGGTGAGGATGCATAATACTGCAGTTGTTTGCATCTGCCTGCCAGAACATTAAGGCTACCTCTGGCTCTTCACAGTAAACACACATGTCTGCCAGCTGTGCATACATGTAGTATTTTGACCCACATCTTTAAAACATGCATTGTTATTCCTTTGAGTTGCATTAATCTGTTATCCCGTTTTGTTGTTGTTTTAGACATTGAGGATCTGCCACCTGCAGTCCAGGAAAAGTTGTTTGACGAGGTTCTGGACCGAGATGTGCAAAAAGGTGAATTATTTACCTGCATGACTTTTCGTTGCAGGTTGCATATCCAGCTCGTTGCTAGGCAAACAAACGAAGCCCTTTCACAACCTGTGCACGTAAACAAGGAGGCGGCCCCACACTGGCGGTGTTGTATTACTTGTATGTTCCTTCCTGCCAACATGACTTTTTGCTGAGCAGCTTGTCACTCAGCCAGGCAGCCTGCCTTCACCGTGTGTACCGGTGGCATCTTTGCTAATCAGCCTAATTGAGTTCCAGGGATGTTTCTGATCCTCACTGAGAGACCGTAGCAGCATTCATCCTACAGACACACACATGCAAAAGACAATTAAGAGCACCTCTTTTTTCTTTAGTTATTACCAATCTGTGCTTGCTGTTGAGTCATTTCAGTGAGTCAAATATCAGACTGTAAAAACAGAAATACCTTCTCAAGCTTCACAGATGTAAAAATGAGCCAAACGCCTTTTCTTGTTAAGAGATTAGAACAAAACCTGTTTTTATGGTTAAAAGTAAAACCAGTAAATTATACAGTCAAACGGCACCTAAAGTTTGTTTTTTTAATCCCGAGCAGAACTTGAGGAAGAGTCCCCCATAATCAACTGGTCCCTGGAGCTCGGGACCAGGTTGGACAGTCGACTTTACGCGCTGTGGAACCGGACAGCCGGGGACTGTCTCCTTGACTCAGTGCTGCAAGCTACTTGGGGCATCTATGACAAGGACTCTGTGCTTCGCAAGACCCTCCATGACAGTTTGCACGACTGCTCCCACTGGTGAGGCCAGCAGACTGACAACTAATAAGTTATTGTGTTGAAGCCGTACATCCAGCCTTGGGTTTATTCAAACTGTGTTCGGCTGACAAAACAAAGATCTATGATCAGGGGTTTAGTACTTCTGTCATTTTCTTTCATTTCTATGAGAAAGATGCAAACAGACTGTTGAAAGTTTTTCTTAAAAGTTTATTCTAAGTGATTCAGAGGATTCATGTTTGCATGCAAGTTGCAAAAATTGAGCACGCTTCAAGTTGTGACGGGTAGATGAAAATTAAAACCAGGCTTTCTCCGGTCACCCTCCACATAAAAACGAAGCTCCAAATGAAACAAGAAGACCACAACACATGAATATGCATAAGCCCAGTGTGACTCACGCCAGTTTGTAACAAACTGTGGAATTGTCATAAAGAAAATGACTTTTCAGAAATAATTTAAAAGCAACCACCGTCCAACTTAAACCACAGCAGGGAACTCAGTCAACAATCTGCACACACACCGAGTAATGTGTGAGACTAAACAGTTTGTTTGTGCAGGTTTTACATCCGCTGGAAGGAGTGGGAGTCGTGGTATTCCCAGAGCTTTGGTCTGCACTTTTCCCTTCGGGAAGAGCAGTGGCAGGAGGACTGGGCTTTCATCCTGTCCCTCGCCAGCCAGGTACCTGTGAACGAATGCCAACCCTCACATTAGCATGGAGGAATGGAGCTGTTTATGCTTAAGATGTATGCTAACGATGCCCGAATTGTTCACAAACCCATACAGCTTTTGTTATGATACACTCTGGGAGAACGTGCATATTGTGCCATAACACTGTTCTGAGTGACCTCACTGACTAAGCATTGAGCAGGTTGTACTAAATTTGGGTTTGAAAGCTCACGAATTGTGTTAGCGCTGAGGCAACGTAGCAACAATCAGGAATGTTTTCTGTTTCCCCCACCTCTGATCTCTCAGAATCTCTCTTTTTTTCATTTAAAAGAAACATTTTGTTTATCTCTTGTGTTTTCATTCTGCAGCCAGGATCAAGTTTGGAGCAGACCCACATCTTCGTTCTTGCACACATACTCCGTAGGCCCATAATCGTTTACGGAGTGAAGTATTACAAAAGTTTCCGCGGCGAAACGCTCGGGTACACCCGTTTTCAAGGTGAGCGAGTGCTTGATCATTTGAGCCGACGACGTTTTGCTCACACATTGATCAGTGCAGCGTTTGTGCTATTCCATTGGGTGTGGAACAACTAGACGTCCTTTGTGAAATGGCTGCAGCCTACATGTGTCTGCATAGCTGACATATCTAACATAACTGATTCATCAGTACTTGTCACTGACTGTGCATGTCGATTTAATGCATTTCATTAGAGATTTGGACCAAAAACAGCACAAGCATTGCAACAAAATGTGATATTGTGGTAAAACGGTACATTCTGCATGGATTTATGATGCAGAAAGCCATCCCACAAACATCCAGATACTACTGGACCTATTTAAAACCATCAGAATCTTAAGTAAAACAGTTCTTCAAACAGAGAGGGAAGTCTACCGTCAAGACTAGCAATAAAAACTGTCTGGATTCAATTTGCCTGCTGAGCTGAGCTGCACAGGGCTTGCCGTAAGTCGTCGGTGAGAGCCAACTACTTGTGGTAAAGTCGTTGTGATGGATCAGTCATTTAATGTTGCCAGGAGTCGGGATAAAACACCGGGAAAGCCAGTGCCCAGATGGAAACGATGGAGGAGGGGAGGATTTATAAGTTAAAGGGTGACTAAATAATCCCAGTACAGACTCAGTGGTTATCATGGGGAATGCTAAACAGTCAGTGTCTGCTGCGGAGGAATTAATGAGTTACAGGAGCCAGCACTGCATCCAGATCTTGAGTACTCCTACTTAAAGTATTTGTGTCCCTGGTTTTCTCTTCTCCTCCTTTGATGTCAGAGAAAATATCTGCATGATTCATGTTTTCATGCTTTCAATCGTTGCCCCTAAATGGGCTGAATGAGCCTATAAATGCAAATCCCTGCAGATAGAGAAGCCACACGTTTATTCATTTTGAGTTGGTGTTTATGCCAGTAATATGTTCAGAAGTGAGGTATGATGTGGTTAGTGTGCATAAACAAATGGTAACTAGATCTTGTAAATTTAGGTATTTTTGAGGGAATGATCAAACATTGTCCATGCTCCTGCCTCCTTTAGGTGTGTACTTGCCCCTTTTGTGGGAACAAAGTTTCTGCTGGAAGAGCCCCATCGCTCTGGGCTACACACGAGGTCACTTCTCAGCACTGGTGGCCATGGAGAACGACGGCTTCGACAATCGCGGCGCGGGCGCCAACCTCAACACGGACGATGACGAGACGGTCACCTTCCTGCCGCTGGTCGACAGCGAGAGGAAGCTGCTACACATTCACTTCCTCTCGGCACAGGAAGTAAGATGCTCCTCCATGTGAGTGTAGCTCTTCCTCTCCATTTTAGTTGACAAGGTTGTTTTTTCTTCTTTAGATGGGTAATGAAGAACAACAGGAGAAGCTGCTGCGGGAGTGGCTGGACTGCTGCGTAACAGAGGGCGGCGTCCTGGTGGCCCTGCAGAAAAGCTCCCGTCGCCGCAACCACCCACTCGTCACTCAGATGGTGGAGAAGTGGCTGGAAGGCTACCGGCAGATCCGCCCCTGCGCGTCTTTGTCTGATGGCGAAGAGGAGGAAGACGACGATGACGAGTGACAAAACTGAAACAAACGGAGGATATCTACGAGGGGGCAGGGCTCCTCCTCGTCCTCCTCACTTCTTTCTTTTTCAGTTTTTTCTGGTTCACCTTTTAGTTTTCCTGACTCGGGCAAACTGTGAAGGCCTTCACGAGAGGACGAGGAACCACAAGCCCTCCACTCACACCACCCAAAGCTACCAAACGGCTCCGCTGGCGTACACACTAACACTTTACTCGGACCTCCCTGAGACGGGGGTTGGAATAAAGATTTACGAATGCAAAAACCCTTTGATTTGTTTTGAGTTTCAAATGTAATAAAAAAAAAAAAGTCATCTTGATCACTGATGTAAATGCATGTGGTTGTTATAAAAAAGACAAGTTAAAGGAAATATACCAGCATTTATTTAAAACAACACTTTCTATCCCTTCAGTGTGGGCACTGACAAAAGCACACTTCCAAATTGAACTTTTTGATGTTTTTCCAGTTGTTTTAACAGTTCAGCTTCTGTTTGAGTGTTTTGAAGAGACAGGGACAAAGCCAATAAAAATTATCTTCAGAGATTATGTAATAATATACAGCGTATATCCTTATTATTAAGCACTGCACATTTATGAAAACATTTCTAACTAAACGCAGTATCCTTGCTTGAAATAAGATTGTTTATGAAGCTTTTTAAAAGGGAGACTTGCTCTAGGCAAGTCTGAACTACATGCACCAAGGTTTAACAGGTGGATAGTTGTTTTAATGTTCACCAGACTGATTGAACTGAGAACTCTGTGTGTTTGAATTTATTCTACATATTTATTGTTTAAAAACCTTATTAAGAGCATTTCTGTATATTTTTCTCCTTTTTTTTTGGTGGATTTTGTTAATTATTCTTTCAATCTTGATGAAGACACGTTGCACAGAAACACTGTTCCTGTGAGGAAAGAACCAATCACGACAGTGGAAAGTTTACTTAGATTGTTGCATGGGATTTAGTACCTCATCTGGATGCCTAAAATCTCGTGCTTTTTATTGTGTTTTATTTTTTTGGGTGTTTTTTTTTTCTGGGCAGATGAGACACATTCATTGTCGGGGTGAAACCCGGAGTCACTAGTCCAATGTCTGTTTTTTGACGCCTTGTTTGTTCGTTCATTTCTCAAAGCGTTTGATGTCCAGCCACCATTCATGGTACATGTTAGTTCAGCTTCTTGGTAAAGTCTGCTGTCGCTCCATCCTCTCGATTTAAGCTGTTGTGAGAGATTGCAACTTATTAAACCAAAGGTGACAGGAAAAAATAGATTTTGAAAAGTGAGTCGACCTTTTTCTTTGTTTCTTTGCCGTGAATGTTTGCATTTCTCACCCCTTGCCATTGCGTATTGTATCCTCTTTTGTGTCACATGTTTTGATCATTACCTAAATGTTGCTTTGTATTTATGCAATAGTTGCAGATGTGACTATGATGGTTTGTGAATTTAGGCCTGACTTCAATAAACAGAGTGTAATGCAAAGAACAGGCAAAATACAAAAAAATAAAGGAAATCCTTTTTTGAATGTCTAAACTCAACAGTTTCCTGTCTGTTAATCTTTAAATCATAAACTAACTTTACAACCACAATAGGAAAATAACTTAGACCTTTGACAAAAATTAAAAGTCCCATTAGTCATCACATGCTGGTCAAATTACATCTCCAGATTTGACCCATCCTTGTGGGGAGAGGTGAGCCTTGGGAACCATTTGGTGTTTTAACCCCCCCCCCCCAATCCAACCCTTTAAAGGTGAGTGTCAAGCAGGGGGGCATTGGGTCCCATTTTTAAAAGTCTTTGGTGTGACCTGGCTGGGATTTGACCCCTGATCCCTCAGTCCCAGGGCGTACACGCATACCACTAGGCAACTAAAAAGGTAAATAGAAGTTTAAAACATAAAAAATGCAATAAATTGTTTTCAACGTGTTGTGCATAAAGCAGCTGTTTGGAAAGATCATAATCTGCTCACGCACATAGACACAATCAGCAAATGTTCATCTGCACTCTCTCCCTCAAGCAGAAAATCATTTTTCTTCCAAGAGAATTCATTAAAATACTGAAATACTGCTTGATTTTCATTTCATTAAAACCTGTTACCATGTAGTTATTTTTTTCATTGATTAATTCATCTAACAATTTCCTTCAGACCACATTTGAGTTTTTAGCAACTAAAAATCCCAAAAAAATGACTGAAATCTGTTGCTATGCCTCTTTCTGACCACTAGGGGCATATATCAATAATCTGTGGAGGAACACTTTGATAAACAAAGATTTTATTTATTAGAAATCACATTAATGTGAAATAGCTACTGCTTTACAGAAGTTGTAAACTGGTTATGTGTTTTATCTGGAAATCACAACTTGGCTTGATTATATTTTAAACTAACAAAAGTTCATATTCTTTTTTAATCACTCATTTGTCCCAGTTTTCAGTTTTCTTGAGAAATATTTTAAACGGATAAAAACGAACCAGAGCAGTGTTCTACCAATCATCAATCAGAACAGTAAGTTTTATTTATTGTTTCCAGCTGCACTGAATGCTATACGTTCACCTTGTACAAGAAACAAATACAAATACTCACACTAAAAACCAAACAATCTGTTGCAGCCACTTCTTTCTAACGTCACGGTGCTGAGGAGGAGGGTGGGGGGCCACCGAGAGCCACAGCTGGCCCTCATTAGAGCAGAAAAACAAAGAAACTATGAGAGGAGGGGCGGGGTCGTGGTCACGTAAGACTACGGCAATATGAACATTTAACAAGCCGATACAAATCTAACAGGAGTGAAAACATTCACACACATCTAAAATGTACAATTGGATATATTAAAAAAATACCACAATTGAGACAGATATGAGAAGCAGTAATCCGGATGATTGGTTTTCTTATTTTCTGTTCAGATTTAATGTTACTTTGTAGTTTCCTGAGACTTCCTGTTTCTGTTCCTTTACTAATACCTCAGTAGCTCATAAGTGCATTTCTGCCATGCAAATGAGCTCCTTTGGATGCTAACGGGGAATTTTCTGCTCATAAGACTCAAATATCACCTTGGTTCAGCAGAGTAGGACCATTACATGTTCAACGTTGGATTGCTTTGTTGAATTTTTTATCATTTTAATCCTATTTTTGGTGTAAACATTCATTTCCACCTCCTGATTTAAAACGGTGTTTAACTGGATTTTACATTCTGGAGCACCAATGAAGAGAAAGGGCACAGAGTCCTGATCTCTGATCTACTTGCTGATTGGTGGATTTTTTTCTGCTCTGCCTAGCATAATGGTAAATTTATTAAATTTAACTCACTGAAAAACAGATATTCATTTGCAACAGAAACACAAAATATATAATAAACCAATAATAGTAAAAAAAAATAACCTAACAAACACAAGACAGGTTTAATGACACGTCGTCCTTTAAAACCAGGAAGGTTGAGTCGGGTTCCTGCGCTTGGCTCCCGGTAGCTTGTCCTAGAAGTCCAAAAGGATTTCCCCAATGTATATGTAAGGATACAGATATAACCCAAAGGGTCGTTTAGTTTGGTAAACAAAATCTAATATGGAGGGAGGGGACGCCTGGGCTCTGCTGCTCGAGTTTGACGGTCAGTCCCGTCTTTGTGTGGCAGCTCAGGTGTGTCCTACCGTCCACTGTCCTCACTCCAGCTTGGTGGTTTCATACAAAACGAAAAGTGTGAAACATTTGCCTGGCAGGCAGTTTGCTGGTAGGTCCAGACGGCTGACATCAAGCATATGGTTGGGTGGGTTGACTTGGTCAGTTTCTTAGTCTACACTGAGTTTATGTCTCTGCTCGGCTACGCCAGCCATCCTGCTACGGCTCACTCATGTGCTCTCTCATAGGGTTGCCGTGTTTGGAGGGTTGATTTGGAGAGGTGGCCTGGGACGGATGGGTGCCCAGGGGCAAGGTGTGGGCGATTGGCACACCCCCGGGCACCAACCCTTCCATAGGTCCAGTGATCCCACCGGGGGCGATACCCATCACACCAGGGGGGAATCTGGAGAAAAACGAGTGATCAATATTAATCAAGAAAAACTGGAGAAACAAACAATTACTGAAAGGCAACACAGATCCTAGAGAAAATCACGTAAGGTTAATGAGCTAGAGACATTTGGTAAAATAATCACAACAGCTCTCATATTTGTGTCACCGCCTTCTGTAAGCATAACTTACAGAGCAAAGAGCATTTGGGTCAAATTTGCCTAAAATTACACAAAAACTTGAACATGAAGGGTAATGTGCTCCTTTGTTGGGTTCTAACAGAATAAAAACAAGGAAAAACGTGTCTTCAATGAAAACTAGAAGGAATAAATGGGGTAGTTTGGGTGAACGGATTAATTTGTTAGCTTAGGAGACCACACAGTCAGGTGTTTTTTATGGAGTTAATTTAGTGTTTTTATTGTGCAATCAATCTGTGTCATTCTGCAAATAACATGCATTCAAAAGCAAAAGCAATAACACTTGGAATCGGATTATTTAATCAGTTACAATTGACATTACAACCATCTGATCATGTTATTGATGACATAGCTAAATGACCTCTGTCTGTACCTGAAACTAAAAATCAAATATTCTTTCCATGAACACTTTCATTCCTAATCATGGCGGCTGCCAAGGTTCTGCACACATGAAAGCATGCATACATCCAATGGTGATTATGCGGGGGAAACAATTTCTCTGCATTTGACCCATCCTTGAGGAGCAGTGGGTTGCCATTTGCTGGGCTGCTTTCAGAGTTCAGTACTTTGCCCAAGGGCACGTCAACATCTGGCTTGCCGTGGACAACCGCTATCCCTGCTCAGCCTCCTACTATCTCAAGTCAGTCTCACGCACATGCACACCTGCTTCTGTACTCATGGTGTAACTGCACAAGTCACTGTCACAGACTAGTGTTGTTCATTTTTTACAATAATATGACTTGCTGAAGTATTCCGCTGTTCTTATTTGGATTTTAAAAAGCTGATACAGTTTTACTATTTGCACAAGAATGCAAAAAAATTACAACATTTACACGTTAAAATAAACGTAGTTGTTAAATAAAAAGAGATGGGTTTTGGTGCTTGTAAAATACAAAAATATGGGACATTTCTGTAAAGTCCTACAATTTTGTTTTGTTTTGAATTTAATTAGCAGCACAGAAGCACAACATGAAAGTGGTCCTTCACTGAGAAACCATTTTTTGGCTCATTTTGGAAATGATCACTCACTCTGAATGTGCTGAACATAAACAGAAACACTCATCTCCTTCATAAGTTTCTAATGGAAAATAGATGGTGAAACTGTAGGATGTGAAAAGCCTGACAGATCTACATCACACTGTCACCTAACATTAATGGTGTCAGCCATCTTGACTCGTGACGGGGAAGGCTGTTGTTGGTTTAGCGTCCAGGAAACAACAGAGAACGTCTTGGCTAGTAGAAGCTAACTGTTAGCATTAGCAACTCCACCACGTAGCAGAACTCTTTCAGGCTTGTGTTATTTGTGGAGACAAATATCAACTTTGCCGAACAAACCGTCAGTGGCAGAACTGCATTGTTGTTATCCAATCTGAGGCAAGATGTCCAAAAATCAGGAAATAATACTCCAAATCCTGTCTTCTGAAGCTACTTTCTCCTCTGGCTTACTTCTACATGCTGAAACAGGTGCACTGGAGCTTTTTTTCCCCAGAGTGCAACTTACAAAGCATTCATTCCTAATATAAACCACTTCAAACGTATTAAAATACTAGTGAAGGACCTCTTTAATGCCAAAGTTTCCCCACTCCAAATTATTTTGACATTCTTCACAATCTCAAACGAACTGTCTGTTCCTGTCTTTCCTGGTCACAGATCCTCAGCTCAACATCTACAAAAACAACTTATTTTACATTTGACGGCCATCATGCTAACTGATAATGTGTGGCTAAAGTAAAAGAACATTCTACATTAGACCAGTCTCATGTGCAGTTTATTCTTTATGTTGAGGGAAGAAAAAAAGGGTAACTGGAGGGTAGATGGAGTTACACCTACAAGGCATGGATGAAGAGAAGCTGCAGAACTCCTCAGGGTTCGGGTTATTAAGAATGTTTTTATTTTTTCATTTGCATTCATTTACCTGAGTTGAGATCTAGGTATATAATTTGTCCTGCATTCCCCCCGTTGCTATGGCCTGTACCATGGTTTGGTTCACTCGGCTGTGTGAGAGAAGCAGTTCAGTCTGGTTCAGACAATGTAATGACGACTGAGAAACGCAGAGGCTAAACTTAACAAGGGATAAACTCAACTGGGCCAAGATTAAACTTCTAAAAAATGCAAGATGTAGGAATAAAACACAAATCACTTAAAGCTACCCCTCCCCCATGTGCTAAAACTCTACTGCAGGTGTTGAGATGACACCCGAGTTCTCCTCGTGAAGTCCAAATGACTCGCCCACCTGTAGGCGGCACCGTTGATTTCAGGGTGAACTTGAGGCTGCTGCTGCTCCATCATTCCCCAGGGCGCCGTGGTAACAAAGAACTCCTTATTGACGCAGTTTCTCAGGCTGTCGGGAATACGACCTGCGTCGGGGAAAGACGAACCACAGTGAGGCCAGAAATCAAAAATGCGTCAGTGTGAAGAAGCACAAAGACGCACCAGTGATGGCTCTGCGGATTTCCGTGGCGGCGGCCTCTCTCATCTCCAGCGACGCCTGTTCGCTGTACCAGGCAGTGTGGGGGGTGCAGATCAGGTTGGGGGCATCTTTGAGGGGACCTTGGGAAAAACTGCTCAACGGCAAATAAAAACCAAGTAAAGAATCAAGCAGGCACATATTTTTCTAATTTAATTTTGTTCATAAGAAAAAATGGAGACACCTAAAAGGCTCTGACTCATGGACGTCCATGGCTGCACCCCGTATCCTGCCTTCTTTTAAGGCCTGGGCCAAAGCTTTCTCATCTACAAGACCTCCTCGTGCAGCGTTGACCAGAAAAGCACCTTGACGCATCTAAACACACACAAGAAAGTGCAGAGAGAAACTATTATCATCCAAATGTTGCAGAAAACAAGAACAAAAATTGTATTTCTTTATTTCTGTTTGCACAAAAAAAAACTTGTATATGCATTGTATTCATGTTAAGCTGAGACTTTCTCCTTATTTGACAAAAATACACCACAACTGATAAAACACACAGGTAAATTCCTAATTTAGCAGTTTAGTTTCTGCCCCCCAGGGGGCAGCAGAGCCCACGAATAGATCAAAAGTTCTAGCAATCATTTCAGAAACGAAGATTTGAGTAAAATATCCATCCCAGAGGCACATTTGTTGTGTTAAAGGAAAAGGGTGATGCAAATAATCTAGCTTTAATATGCAGAGACATACAAAGTGTGCATTATCCACTGATTCCATAAGGCTTGCACTTGGGAAGAAGTGTTTTTCGCAATAAATTATGTTTGCGTTTTAAAACACACGTGGGTCAGTCCTCCAAATGTGTGTTTGTAGTTTCACACTACAAAAAAGACTGGATTCAAATTGACTTAACTTGAGAATCTAAACTCTTGGCCTATTCTCAGTGTAAAGCAAGCTGGAGAACATGCCAGATCCTCCACCCACACACACTCTTTGGTAGTGATTGGGTCGCATTGACCCTAAAAGTTCTAAAAGGACAAGAACAATTTATATCCACCCCCACGTGTACCACCTGGTCCACTTTACACCAGCTTGTGCTTGATATTCATTAAAAGCTTTGTTTAATCAGCCCGCAAGCTGCTAATTAAAGCAGCAACAATGCAGCAGCGAATGGGTGCACTAAAACTGTCCTACGGACAAGCAGATTCTCCTCTAAGTGTTTCTCTCTGTTCACCTGTTTGATGGTGAAGTCATTGATGAGGTGGTGGTTGTGCTCGTTCAGGTTGCAGTGCAGGGACACGCAGTCGCTTTGGTAGAGCAGATCCTGCAGCGTGTAGACCCGCTGCACTCCGAGCGAGCGCTCCAAGCCGTCCTGGAGGTAAGGGTCGTAGAAGATGATGTTGAAGCCAAATGCCTTGGCCCGCATGGCCACCGCCTGGCCTGTGCGTCCTAAAATCCAACAGCCGAAGAAAAAAATATGAACTGAGATGCATCCGGCTTAAATTAAACATTGCATTTAAAATCTCTAAGAGAATTAAAAAATTTAGAAATAAAACAATAAAAGGATAACTAAGATTCATTTTGGCCATTTAAAAATAAACATTAATAAACATAACGTTGCTTTTGGTTCGAGTCATTTCTGAAGGAGGCAAAAAATAACATAGCTGTGCATGTGCTAATATAACCACGTGGAAAACTTTACTCAATAATTAATGAAGCAGATCTAATTCATTAATAAAGAGCTTTGTTTACCCTGGCCCTGCTATGCATATGACTGTGTGACCAAAATTACTGTGAAACCTGCTTATTTTCATTTCTTTGCAGCGTGGGAATCTCATGTTCTAGTTTTGTCAAACGAGATGAGACAAATTTCACCAAAAGAGGAACAAGAACTGGAAAAAAGTGAGATAAATCCTCTTGATGATGTTGGATCTGAATGGAATTAGTTTCGTTTTGAACTGTTTGACACTCACAAATGAATAAAAGGGCTCATATTTTGTGAAATATTAGATATTGTGGGTTTATTTTGCAGCCATCAACCTGCTTGTTGGTATCACCGCTGAGATAAGAGGTGATGGGAAAGTGTTCTCAACACAATAATATGAAGAATCAGTGGCTAATAATAATAATAATAATAACAATAATAATAATAATAATAATAATAATGGATTGGATTTATATAGCACTTTTCTCATCGCCCAAAGCATTTTTCCATTATTCACACATTGCCAGTGATGGTAAGCTACTATGTAGCCATAGCTACCCTGGGACAGTCTGACAGAGGTGAGGCTGCCATTTTGCACTATCTGCCCCTCTGACCACCACCAACACAGGTAAGTTGGGTGAAGTGTCTCCGATCACAAGACAACCCGCTCTACCACCTGAGCTACTGCTGCCCCATGCCTGGGAAAATTAGGTGTGGATGTCAGGACGCCATTCTCACCAAACCCGATGAGGCCGAGCGTCTCTCCTCGGATCCTTGCTGCCCCGGACGCCACCTCCCGGATCTGCTCCACGCTCTGGACCCGCGTGCCTTCCCGGAGAGCCTGGTACAGCCAGGTGTTTCGCCGGTACAGGTTGAGAATATGACAAAGCGTCGAGTCTGCTGTTTCTTCTACCGCCGCCGAGGGAATATTACACACCGCTATTCCTGGAATTTAGAACAACCAGGAAATTGATGAAAATAACGAATATGAGACATGATGGCTTCAGTGACAACTCTAGTAAGGATATTTAGTTGTTTCCCCATCCTGTGCATAATACAATCCCACTAATCTGTTCAGAAATATGAGGATTGCTATAAGAAATTTCTTCCAGTGGGGTGAAATGTAACAGCGACAGTAATTAGGATATCACAGTAAATCCTGCCGAAATACCAAACACATGCCGAAGGGGCCAGATGGGAACAAGAGAAGGAGTTTTGTATGAGTTGCAGCATCTGCTCTGAATATGCAATCAGTTCCATTACCTCTCATATTTACAGTTAATAAATAATTCCCACTGCATATGTTGTTTATGCTAAAGCTAGAATAACGAGCAGAGTTTGGTTGGTCTCCACTGAAAAGGTGCCTCTCCATAGTGGATCCTTTCTGTTTGTGCTGATTTATTATTTATCTGAGCTCATCCTTGTGAATATTTAGATCCTATGGGCTGTAATGAGTCTCTTTATTCATTATTTTTGCCATATGATCATCGTCTGTTTCTTAACGACCTCTCGCTGATGTCTGCAGCCTCACCGAGCTCTCCGGCGGCCTTGATGTCGATGTTGTCGTAGCCACTGCCAATGCGGATGATGATGCGCAGCGCCTTGAACTTCTCCAGGTCCTCTCTGGTCAGAGTGATGGTGTGGTACATCATGGCGCCGACAGCCTCATTCAGCACCTGAGGGACATCAGAGAGGATGTCATCATCATCATCATCATGTGCTTCCTCTGCAGCCAATAGATAGACAAAACCATTTAAGTCACATTGTTGTTCTAAATCATTATCATCCCTGTGTTTTGCAACATGTTTTGTATCATCAGCTTGTTGCAGTCGCTATGAATAAGTATGCTTTCACCACCTCTCATTTTCCAGGATCAAACTTTATGTTCGCTGTCCTTCATCTAAATGCAAATGGATTGTTTATGGGTGCTCTAAATAATATGAATAGTTGTATGTGCGTTTACTGTATAATGAGCGCTTGCAAAAGCAGTTTTTTGTCACAATCCATTAACTCTGTCTGTGTGCAAACAAGGTTAGAGTGGGTGCACGTCGGACAATAAAGTCTACTGACAGCTGCTGAGCAACACAGACGGCATAAACAAGAGGCTGCTGCAAGACAAGGTTTACATTCACAAACCGCTAACGAAATTAGCCTACCTGAGTCAGATTAGCATGATTGTGAATTTCCATGCAACATTTTTATTAGAGGTAAACACAAGAGCGGGAGGCTGAACTCAAGGTTAAAGCTCTCCTTTCTGTCTTTACGCAAGCGCAGCATGGCCGGCCGCAGGCTCGACCCGGGATGCAGCTGGAAAACGACAGAAAATTGCTGCAAACTCTTACGCAGCAGGAATGCAAAGTGAGAGCAGGTTTACATGAAGTGGGGAAAAAAACTGAACGAATGAGGTACTGAATTTTAATAATCAGTAGCTTCCAAAGCACTTCTTATTGTCAGGAAAATCACTTATTGCAGGGCAATTCTGCAGAGAGCATCCAACCTGGGTGGGTTAGCGTGAGCCAGGTTGGCTGAGTCTGTGTGCTTTGTGTGTTAACGATAAGCTAAGTAGAGCTAATCAGAAATACGGCGTGCTAATTAGTGAGAATCCAGGGCTTTTCCATTAGCTTTAAACTGAGCAAGACTTTGCTCCCCGATGCAAAGTTAATCACCTGCTGGCAACATAATCAGTACAGACAAAAGTAAAGTCACTTCTTCTGAGGTTATGTGCCATTGCTGGGGGAAAAAAACTTTTCAAAGAATTATTTGATTCATTTCATCTGGATGTTTTGCTCCTTTGATTTCTAAAAACAGAAGTTGCGGTTTATTATGAATCTGCCTTAAGGTGCAATGAAAAGGTAAACAGGTTAATGTAAGAAATTTCCACCAAGGTTGGAGTGAAGAATGTCAATTTGGTGCACACTGGCAGGAAAAAAATACAAAAAGAAATGTCTGTAATCATCATTTTAAATGTGTGCTGTATAATTTTCCTGACTCTTGAATCTGAAGACTAATCAAAATGCAGAGAATACTTAAAGAGCACTCCTGTCACTCCTGATTTAGATGGTCTGCTGCTGACGATGTGCTATAAAAACACATTAACATGAATAGAATATGTAAAAATAACAAAAATCATGTTATTTTCATGCATTTTTAGCACTTTATATCATAGATTGATCAGTTGCCTAATTTATAGAAAATATTTTTTAAGATTTTAATCTAACTTTAACTCCGACTTCTCCACAATCCTCCACTGCGTGATGACTTCTGGGCAGCTCGTTCATACAAAAAGACATCAGAGTGAGTCAGTTTGCTCACAGCGGGTTGGTGATGTTCTTGTGAGCGATTTAGAGTGTTTGTGCATATGCACGCTCCCCTCTGCACCCTCTGTTGTGTAGTTAAAGTTATGGGACTGCAGCCAACCTCTATGCTTCCAGATGGGCCCTCTGCTTGTCGGCATGCTCACACTAAGAACATTTTGCTGAACAGAGATGAAGTGCGAGGGTGTGCTGTGAAAAATAAAAACGTAGAATGATCTAACCTTTGTTTTGCTTTTTTCAGGTATATTTTCATTAGCTGTAAATCAGCCATGAAAGTTGGTATTCTGGATTTGCTCAATGCAGCATTTCCACGAAATCTATAAGCAGCACAAAGTGGTTGGCCTTTTTCTTTTTTTTTTCACCATTGTGAAACCACAAACCCTTCATTCTGGACTGTAAAACTGCTGCTCAGTAGCTTTGGTGTACAGACAGTAAAACAAGACAAAGGTTTCACCCGTTCTGGCTCAGAACAATTATGCCCCATTTCTATTACCAGCCTCCTCCTCCTCCTCCTCATGCGACTCCTCTTTACTTAACAAAGCTACACTTCGGCTCACAGTGGGATTAGCGTCAATGATGAAACCATTATAGCGGTACTGGGGGAGCGGGACGAACCAGTGGGCTGAAATATCATTAAAACATTACAGAGGAGGAGGCTTTGATGGAGATGATTCTCATGTTTCGAGCAGAAAGCAAACCGTTTAAGCAACTCAGATAACGTTAGATTTACAGTATTTAACACGAGTGCAAATATTGCATGCAGCGGGACAAAATATCCGTTTTATGTTTCAAACTTGTGAATTTGTGGTATTAAAAACAATAAATACAAAAATGTCAGCTTTTGAGAAAGAATGTTACAATTCTAAATGTGATCAGTTAATCAAATGTAATTGATAAGCAGAATGTGGCTACTTCTCTGGAGGACAAGGAGGAGAGGACTTGGTCTTTTTTGTACAATCTGCCTCTGAAAATATTCTTTGTGTTTATTGCAATAATTACATGCACTGTTTTCTTGTTCATTTAGGTTTGTATTTTTCTCCTTTGAAAACATTTTTTTCACAGCCTGATCTGTAAAACTTGAAAACAAAACAAAACAAAAAAGTGAGTGTGAAAACACGAATAAAAGCTGCTTATGAGGCTTTTGTTGAAAGAGATAAATCTAAAAGTGCTTCGGAGGTGAAACCAGTCAAGGTAACACAACTATCATGATTAATTGTGACATTCTTTCTTTTGGAAACATAAACACTCCACTTGGTGCAAGTGAACAATGAGGAATGGCTCTGATGTTCTTACCTTTTCATGAATCTCCTGCGTGGACTGAGCGTCACAGAAAGCCACAGTGGCCAGATCTTTGAGGATGGGCATTTCCACAGTGCAGTCGCGCCCATCCAGAAGCGCCACCAGGGGGCGAGGATGCATAGGCCCATTCATAATCTGGGGCCGAATACCTGCAGAGAGGGATGAAGTAAGGAGCCGGTCAATTATTTATGTGGCGCACACGGCCAAGTGACCTGGGGAAGAAGCTTTACGATTTGCCAACTGCAGCCCTGCAGGAAGTGTTCACATAAACTGGTTATGCTCATACATTTCCCACCCAAAACTATTCAGTTCACTATCATTTTACAGATTTCCCTGCAAACTTCATTGAAGGATATAAACAGCCTCTGGAGTCCATTAAAGCAATAAGCAAGTGGACTGGCCTATATGTCCTCACTTAGGCTAAAACATGCGATGGTCCCCACACTGATGGAAACACACACACACACACACACACACACACACACACACACAGGATCAATACCCTCTGAACTTGAGTGTAGTCTTTTCTAGTTTAAACCACTGTCATAATCTCCTTTACCTGACAACATGGGTCAATACCTCACTATAAACACACACACACACACACACACACACACACACACACACACACACACACACACACACACACACACACACACACACACACACACACACACACACACACACACTTCAGTGATATGACCACCCCCTTGACTCGCTGTTATCCTCACTGTTACCAGGCAACAGGTCCTTTCACCCCATGAGGTCATCACCTCCATTATCCTATCATTGCACAGGAGCCAGCAGGCCTTTGGTGTGTGTGCGTGTGTCTGTCTCTGAGTGTGAGTTTGTGTCGAAATTGTGTTGATGGTGGATGGATGAAGAAAAAAGATAAAGCAAAACAAAAAACCCTTCGGTGAAATTCAACTAAAACTCTAATAGAGATGCTACTGAGTTTCTGTTCAGTTACCATAGCCCATCAGGGACAAATGTAGCAAAAAATGTTCTAAAGTTGGAGCACACAGTTTTGTGCTTCGGAGCTGAATGAGTAGGTTTGCATCTTCTAGCTATGATATAATGAATATGTGGCAGACAAGAAACTAGTATACTCTTTTAGGGAAAAAAAGAAAGGGATTGATGGCATGAACCCATATTCAGACAAAAAAAGAGAGAAGCGAAAGGAGATGGGAGGTGTGTGTGAAGGGGTCCAAGCGCATCCACTCTCTGGCTCCCTGCTGCCTGTTGTCATGGTGATTAGAGGATTTGGGCAGGATTATGAAATATTTTATTTAGTGGCATCTGCGCTGCTGGAGAGGACGTCCAAGTCTACTCAATCCATGGCTCCGTCTCTCCAACTCCAGTTAAGGGAAGCAAGGAGAGTGTTTGTGACTTCCAGGACTAGGACACATTGTTGAATATCCACTAAAGATGTCTGGTGCATGCAAAGTTACAAAATGATAAAAGAGGATAACATAAAACAGGAATGGTAGAATATCTGAATCTCTACATTTTTTCTTGACAATGATTTCAGGTTTTTGTTTAATAAGATTATCTTCTTTGAAATTATTTTTTTATTGCCTGATCTGTCTTTTCCTAGCCTGTTAGTAATGCATGAAGGGATTTTACACAAATAGAAACAATTTTGCTAAAAATACAACAATTATTGCTGCTAATATGTATTTATTTTTTCACTTTTGCATTTCCTGAAATGCCTGTTTTTTAATTGTTTAAGCAGCAAGTAGAGCAAATGGGGAAAACTAAAAATGCCCTGAAACAATTCCTGTCTCGAAACGTTTCATAACCTTTTGTACAAAGCCTAATTATTTATTTTTGCAGTGTCATAAATTTCACATACCTTGATGAATCTCAAATAATTGACATGCATTTCTATCCAGAAGGGCTACAGCTAGCTCCGAAAGTTATTTCTGCTGAAAATAACTACACATTTCTACAACTAGCCACACAATGTAAAATAAATTGGGGTGTAGAGGTTTATCAAATAATATTTGGATTGCAAATACTTCATGAGTTTACGTAGTCATCAGTCTTAACTCATTCACTGCCAGCCGTTTCCTGATCGGTAAAGACCTTCACTGCCAGCGTTTCTTGCCGTTTTTACTGTTTTATAAAGAGTCACAGAATGTTGCGCGCTAGGATGATGTCGACGCCTAAACTACCAAAAGAAATCAGGAAGAATCTGCGTGTTTCGAGCGCTGTCCGTTCTTTCATTATCCGTTGTTGAATTCTGGTCGGCAGAAGCTTTTCCAGTTCGCGCCTCGCTTTTTTTTACAGCAACGGCCCAAAACGATCTCCTAACACATGGATTTTCTGCTTCCTGATCACGTGACATGTGACGTATGTGGATGAAGATCGGCTTTAGAGCTGAGATGTGTGTTCTCACGGTGCGGGGGCTCGTTCTGATGTCCACACAGTAAAAAAATGCAAATGACGACTTTAATTGTCAATGGCAGTGAACGGTTGGATTTAAAATGACGACTTGAGTTGTCAATGGCAGTGAATGAGTTAATAGTACAAATCTCTGTTTCTGCAAATTGAGGCTGTTTAAACAGACATCCACAACAGGTAACATTTTCACAGAAAAACAACATGGAAGATCTGACAAATCCCATCAACTTTAACTTGTAAGGTTTCTTCTTCAAACTTGAATTATTATAACTACACAGCGGCGGGGGGGGGGGGGGGGGGGGGGGGGGGGATTCGTCCTGGGTATCTCAAGGCTATGGGGGGATTTGTCCTGGGTATCTCAAGGCTATGGATGTGGTAGGGCTGTCATGGTTGACACATCTCTGCAACATTGCGTGGTCATCGGGGCAGTTCCTGTGGAGTGGCAGACCGGGGTGGTGGTCCCCATCTTTAAGATAGGTGACCGGAGGGTGTGTTCCAACTATAGGGGGATCACACTCCTCAGCCTCTCTGGAAAGGTCTACTCCAAGGTACTGGAGAGGGGGGTCCAATCGATAGTTGAATCTCAGATTGAGGAGGAGTAATGTGGTTTTTGTCCTGGCTGTGGAACTGTGGACCAGCTCTATACACTTGCAAGGGTGATGGAGGGGGCATGGGAGTTTGCCCAACCAATCCACATGTGTTTTGTGGATTTGGAGAAGGCTTATGACCGTGCCCCCAGGGGCACCCTGTGGGGGACGCTCCAGGAGTATGGGGTGGGTGGCTTTCTGTTAAGGGCCATTAAGTCCCTTTAACAGAGGAGCGTGAGTTTGGTCCGCATAGCCGGTTGTGTCGGACCTGTTCCCGGTGAGGGTTGGACTCCGCCAGGGCTGCCCTTTGTCACCGGTTCTGTTCATCACGTTTATGGACAGAATTTCTAGACACAGTCGTGGTGTGGAGTGCGTCGAGTTTGGTGGCAGGAGAATCTCATCTCTGCTTTTTGCGGATGATGTGGTCCTCCTAGCTTCATCCAGCTCTTACCTTCAGCTCTTGCTGGGTAGGTTCGTGGCCGAGTGTGAAGCGGCTGGGATGAGGATCAGCACCTCCAAATCTGAGACCATGGTTCTCGACTGGAAAAGGGTGGCTTGCCAACTCTGGGTGGGGAGAGGGAGAGAGGTCCTACCTCAAGTGGAGGAGTTTAAGTATCTTGGGGTCGTGTTCACGAGTGAGGGTAGGAGGGATCAGGAGATCGACAGACGGTTTGGTTCAGCGTCTGCAGTGATGCGGACGCTGAGCCGATCTGTCGTGGTGAAGAGAGAGCTGAGCCAGAAAGCCAGGCTCTCGATTTACCGGCCGATCTACGTCCCAATCCTCACCTATGGTCATGAGCTTTGGGTAATGACCGAAAGAACGAGATCACTAATACAAGCAGCCAAAATGAGTTTCCTCCGTAGGGTGGACGGGCTCAGCCTTAGAGATAGGGTGAGGAGCTCGGACATTCGGGAGGAACTTGGAGTAGAACCGCCGCTCCTCCGGATCGAAAGGAGTCAGTTGAGGTGGTTTGGGCATCTGGTCAGGATGCCTCCCCGGGGAGGTGTTTCGGGCATGTCCCGCCGGCAGGAGGCCCCCGGGTCGACCCAGGACACGTTGTAGAGGTTACATCTCTAATCTGGTCTGGGAACGCCTTGGGGTCCTGCCGGAGGAACTGGTGGAGGTGGCTGGGGAGAGGACGGTCTGGAGCTCCCTAGTTGGGATGCTACCCCCGCGACCCGGACCCGGATAAGCGGAGGAAGACGACGACAACGACAACTTGAATTATTATTAAAAACCTAAAGGTGCATGAAGTATGAATGACATCCTGTGGTCAGATTGGGTTACAAACAAACAAACAATTCTGCTCTGAGCAGCTGTAGCCAGTTATGGATCCATCCGTTCCAGAAGATTCTAGATGAAGAGCGAAGACGAGTCAAACACAGTAAGTTGATAGATAAATGCATTTCACTGTAATAGTGAGTTGTTTGTAATTGAAAAAGTAGCTTGAGATATTTTTAGAGCAGACATTTTATTTTCTAATTCATTGCTAGCATTGTTAGCTCAATGGTAACCTCTAGCTTTCTTAAGGCGTGATTTGTGCTTTTCTGTGAGCTCTGCAACAACACGGAGTGTCGGAAAGGTTTTCACATGCGAACTTCGGTGCAGGCAGCAGTATGTTGCAAAACAATTCCCCGCCAGGACAACAGAGGGCGTAACACTCTCTGTGGTATCCTGCCACCATAACACTCATGAATCGGTCCACTATAGTGTACAGTGCATACTAAATAAGCTGTGCGGCTGTGTTGTTGTTGTCCATTCCTTCTGCCACTGTGCATATCCTGTTTTAACTCTATCTGTTCCATTCCTGCCAGTGTTTGTTTTCTATTTGTGTGGCTTTAAGCTAACCAGAAGTATGCCAAAACAAAAGGGTACATGTCACCACCTACTGTATCGGGGTGGAACAAACTTTATTTGAGACTTTGGTTTTCTAACGTACATGTAAACTAGAATAAAGGTTCCTAGTTTATTACTTTAGATTGACTTAAATTGACTTAGATGAGCATGTAAAGACACTGAATGCAACTTTCCTTCCAACATGATTAATACATTAACTCTTATTACTATTATTAGACTATGAACCTCTTACTTGTTGCACCTTTAAGTCGTGAAATTGAGTCTTTAAAAGTATGATTTTTGATAAAAATCGAGTTCC